CGTTTATCGACCCCAGCTAAATTTCTATCATAACTTTTTAAAGTAGCTCTAAAGCTCCATCACCCCCCCCCCCCCATTTTATCGACCCCAACCAAAGTTCTATCATAACTTTTTAAAATAGCCCCCCCACCCCCCAATGACTCTCTAACCGATATGCCCTAAAAACAAACAATAAAACATTCCCCCCCCCCTCCTGACCAATGTTCCCTTTAAGCTGCGCGGGTGCGCGGCCGCGCAGTAATTTTGAGCTTCCGCGCAGTGATTTTGTAAAATAAGTATATCCCTGTATAAGACTTTTAGAACACCGCGCACAGAAAATACATTTTGCACACTAGATTTCCCCTCTTAGAGGGAACATTGCTCCTGACCCTATATCTTCTTTTTCTATATATAAACCCATCCTCCCACGCTAAAAAATAGAGCCGTTTTATAATTAGCATTAGCATAAGTGTTCACGGCCGTCTCGGTTCATAATTAGTAACATTTTGAAAAAAAAAAGAAATTCTAACGTATTCTGTTGTAATGGAATCAACATATTGTTCCGTTAAAAAAACAACGAGTCGCTCTTTTGTTGGTAAAAAACACGAACGTTGGCTTTTTGTGAATGCTAACAAACCCCGTAAGAATGATGCTGGTGCTTTAAATGGTGCATACATAATGGTGTATTGATTCTGGTGGTAGCTCAGGTGTGTGAGACTTGCCCGCACACCACCCACACACCACCCACACACAAGCACGCGACACCCACAGCCACCGGCTTAAGTAAAGCTTACATAATGTAGTGCAACTTAGAGAACATATAAGTGCATTCCTCAACATTAAACCTCCCACATTCCCTATTAGATCCTAATTCACATTCTACATAGCAAGTCCCATATTCCCTTTATAATACCCCACTGCATATAAAAGTAAAAAGTAAAGTTCCTTTTCAAACCTGACGGTCTATAGGGCTAGAGAAATAGAATTCACTTGTTTCTGTGACCTCGGCATATGAAGAGATAGTGTGGTCAGCACAATGCCCAGCCGCCTTTACCTTCCCTAACGTGAGTTAGGTACCTAGGTACCCATCAGAGTTGGGTGGACTCAGGAACGTTCTGCTGACTTGAACCCGGATTCGAACTCTAGACTTTTGGATTAGCAGTTCAGCTCTCTACCGTCCCACTGCAAATATAGCACGTCCCATATTCCTATAAAATAACCGATATAGCATGTCCCATATTTTCTATAGAATACCCCATATGGTATGTCCCATACTCCCTATAGAATTTCCCATATAGCATGTCCCATATTCCCCATAGAATACCCCATATGGTATGTCCCATACTCCCTATACAATACCCCATATGGTATGTCCCATATTCCCTATACAATACCCCATAAAGCACGTCCCATATAGAATTTAACTCACTTTTCTTATAACACAACAAAGTACCTGATTCATTTGGCCAAACTGATTGCAAATGACCACAATTCAGCAGTGGTCAATATTACCACTGCCTATACCTTTTAGTGCAATCCCCCCCCCCCCATCCCTCCAAAACACATAACCAATCTCTATTATTTATTTTTTTTACTTCAGCTGTTTAATTTTTAACATGTGTTCACACACCCTCTCATCTACAACACACCAACTGCTGGGTGGGACTCTACTGCCAATCTAACGATAATATTTGTGTTAAAGTTAACTCTTTGCTCCCAGAAAGTTGGTTGAAAATCACATTTTGTTTTTATCAACCTTGGAGTTTGTGTAGATGGTTGCATGAAAAGTCGTCAGAAAATGTGGAAAACGATGTTTAAATAACAGAAGATGTGTAGTGAATGGGATGTGATTGAGGGACGATGAGGTTGGTCTGGATATCGAGGATAGTCATAGGATGTAATGGGATATGAGATGGGAAATTGGGTATTTCATGATTGGGTATGTGATGAGAAATGGGGTATTGTATGGGTAATGGGGATTGTAATGGGCAATTGAGTATGTGATTAGCAAATGTGTACGTGATGGCATGGGATATGAGATTTGCTATGATATATGAGATCGGCTATGGGATATGAGATTTGCTTTGATATATGAGATGGGCCATGGGATATGAGATTAGCTGTGATATATGAGATGGGCCATGGGATATGATATTTGCTATGATACATGAGATGAGCCATGGGATATGAGATTTGCTATGATATATGAGATCGGCCATGGGATATGAACCGGGACATATCATAATATTATAGAAATGTGTTCTCAGTTTAACACACTTCAATGTGTCCTGAAGTTAAATACACGCCGAAGCCGTGTCACTGAGAAATCCTACACACTGACATATCACCGAGAACTGAACTCATTCGCTTCAAATTACCACCCATACACTTCTACCCCTCGGTCACCACATGCTTTGAAAATGTGGACCTCAACGTTTAGACGTTTACAGGCTAGTTGTTTGACCACTAGACCTCAAAGACAGTTGGAATCAGAGTTTCTTACAGGCACCTCTACCGCCCCCTCCCCCAGAACGAAATAAAATTTATATTACTTACTTACTTACTTAATCCTCATCACTCCCTTTGGAGTATAGGGCAACAACAAGTCTCCGCCATTCCACTCTGTCTTGGGCGAGCCACTTCAGTTCGCCAGAAAATATATACTTTTACAAGTGTCCACCCCCCTCCCGCCCCCGAAAATTTAAAGTGCCCCCCCCCCCCCTCCCCGCTCTCCCCCGAGCAAAAAGTCTGGAAGAAATACTGGCTGGAATCAGAAACCGCTGGTATTTGTCCACAAATTCATACATTTCCGCTTCGAGGGCCATCACAATGTTAATCCTTTTAAAATAATCATGCAACTTACAGAGTTGAAAGGTCACCCAAAATCCTTCCAAAAGAAAGGTCATACGAAGCTACAGTGTACAAGTTTAAAAAAAAACAACCCTGAAGGTTATTCTATTTTCAAAGGTCGAATATTCAGGGTCAAAAAACAAACGGTTGAAGGTGTCTTTCAGAGCAGACGCCAAAAATCGTCTAGTCATGAAGTTCTCTAAGTCGTCCACAAGTTTAAAAAAAGAAACGTCTGGAGTTTTAAAAAAAATAAATCTAAATCTGCATCTAGTACATGGGCATTTAAAATAGATAACCTTAAATAGTAAGATTTAAAATATAATTTTTCAACTAGGGAATGGGGGGAGGGGAGAGAGAATTCACCCATGGTACAGTGGGAAGGAACATATTGTTCAGGGTAGATTTGGATGGCTGGCTACGCTTGACGTATAAACGAGGACATATCACTAAAGATCATTGCATATTTGCAAGGTCAAGGATGTTTGTATTATCGTGCATTTTACCAGTAAGTTAGTTCGCACTTTTGTAGGTCCTGCATTTGTTTTGGTAGCTTTTGGTGTGTTTTGTTTTGTACATTTATTATAATATACCTCTTGGAGCATGAACCAAAAAGTGGTTGCCTTCGTGGTTAGGTTGAGGTTGGGGGGGGGGGGGGGGAGGGGGTGTGGTATAGGTACTGTGTACGTAGAGTTTCTTTCAGACATCTCTTCCCCGTAACACGGCTACAACCCCCTCCCTCCAAACAAAACAGAATGCATGTAGAAAATTTATACTTTTACCAGTGTCCGCTCCCCTACCGAATAATTTAGCCCCCCTCCCCTAAAAAAGTTTTAAGTGCACTTTCCAGAGAAGAAAGTCTGAAAGAAACACAGCTTCTTGACTTCAAGGCTACCTCTACTGCTAGGCTACCCATTTCTCATTTTGATACCTTTACCACTAGTTAGGCTACCATAACTTTAGACACACCAACATAAGGCTACCTCACCTTTAGAGTACCACCACATTTAGCCATCCCCGCCTCTAGGCTACCCCCACCTCTAGGCTTCACCATTTTGGATACCCAGCTTTTAGGCTACCCCACCTTTAGGCTCTCCCACCTACAGGGTACCCCGTCATTAGGCTACCACCGTCTTAAGGCTACCGTCACTAACACATCCACTAACGCCTGTCGGCCCTATCTTTAGGCTACCCCCATCATTAGGCTACCCCCGTCATTAGGCTACCCCACCATACGGCTACCCCCACCTTTAGGCTACCGTCACTATCGCACCCCCCCCCCCTGTCGACAGTGCTAAGTGCTGCTAATGTTTGCCCCGACCATCTCAACAAAGACCAGCAGCCCTTAACCTGCTGCTACCAGAACCAGGACGTCACGTGGTCTTGCAGACGACACGAATAGCACAACATGAGTGAATGTGTTGGGACAGCAAAGGGGAGGACTTGAGTAGATAGCAAATGTTTTATTTTTATCTTGATTCTTTTTCTGTATTTACTTATTCACCTTAGCATTCTTGCATTCCTGAAAGCATGCGCATATATATATATATATATATATATATATATATATATATATATATATATATATATATATATAATCTATTATGGTTTGTGAACCTAAAATTGTGGTTTCGTGATATTTTATGATGTACACAATGTATAAAATGGAATGAGTTTCCAGTTGTAGTTTTATTTGACTGTCTTTTTGGGGTTTTGAGCGCAGAAGATGGGGGGGGGGGGGGGGGGGGCATCTGACACCTTCCTTTAAAGTTCTCTCTAGATATGCTACTGTATGTGGGTCTATCCTCCCCTACCCACACCTTAAAAGTGGTAACCTCTCTTAAGTCGTCTCCAATCCCTCTGTCTGATCAAGCTGAACCAACAAGTAATTGAATATTAGCAAAAAAAAAAAAAACTTGCAAAACCTGGGTCCTGGATTGCTTGAAACTCAAACCCATAGAAGTGATGACATTAAGTCATGACAAATGTCACTGATGTAGTCATGACAGTTTATACTGACATCAAATTATACCAAAATGTGTTGACCTACAGTAATGTCAATCATGGCAAATCATGACATTGAATTTTAAACTTTCTGTTTAAAACAATATGATTCTTATTTTAACAAACAACATCAATAAAAAAACAAATTTAAAAAGTTTTTTTTAAAGTTTTTTTATTTTTATTTATACATATTTTAAAATTTCAAAATGCATTTATCAACAAAATATCATCTTTAGCATGCAGAAAAACAACTACGTATGTATTCACAAAGTGTTTTTTTTTAAATCGTAAAAACAATACGTTCGCACATCTGAAGAAGTATTCACCCAGTCTACATCCACATAAGTCATCTGTAACCCATCCTTAATAAATAATCAGTCACTCATCAGTCACCCATACCAGACTTCAGTCAGCTTATCAAAATTCTTCTCATCAAAAAGGCAAGCAAATCCAATTTGATAAAAAAAAAAAAATCCATTGTACAATTACAACACACATACATACAGACAAAAGGTATAGACAGGCTTTTTTTAATTTCACGCGATTGAAGAGTTTGCATGTCTCAGGACAATAACAAGAAAAGCTGATGGTAAAAATTCAACAATTTGAATATGAAGCAATGCAACAATGGTAACAAGAAGTCACATAATAACAAAAATACAAATTTGAATGAAACACATATTTCATCAAAAGCATAAGAACAAGAAAGAGAATTATATTTTTAAAAAAAATTTAAAAATCTGATAATGAAGATTCCGTACAGAGACTTCTTGAAAGGTGAAAGGTCACAAGCTATAGGAAACTAACACAAGATTGTCCAAACAAGTTTCTCTACAAACAAGGTCGCTCTGAAAGTTTACCCATATGAACTGAGAGGCAACAGAAAGATTGGGTGAACCCATATATATTTATATAGGAATCAACAAAGTATGTATATGTATGTGTGTATGTATGTCCTATGATAAAAGAAGTATGTGTATGTATTAGTGCATGTAAGTCTTATTTAAGAAATAAAATTGGCTATTTATTATCAAGAAATAGATTATTTCTCAAATAGTTTAATTTGCTATTTAAAGTGTATTACTATTAGTATGTATGGACTGCTGAGTCAGAATTTTAGATGTGAATTTGTATGAATGGACTGCTGAGTGAGAATTCTAGAATGGCTAAGGATTGGCAAAACAAGATTTTTTTGTGACTATAAATATGCAAAAATTTTGAATGAGTTTATCACAGTGGCCAGATTTATGTCTTTTGTATCACATGTAGAAACATGTAGCTAATGCCAGATTGTCTGCTGTGTATACCTCCTGATATTAATGAGTTGATACACCACCCAATAGTCTACACATGTATATACATATTTAAAAACATAAACAAGATTCATTTTTTTTTCAAAACATACAGTGTTTTCCAGTATTTTATCCATGGGCACTTATATTTTGATTGCGATTCCAGTAGTTATTTGAAAAATTAAAAATAACTTTATAAAGTCAGTTCAATATGAAATGACTATGATGACAATATGAGAACAGTACGTAACAATGATGCCGCATCTTTCAAGGACCATCGCAAAGGCTTAAAATGCACTGATACTCATCAGCATGCCGAAAGCATGAAACAAACTCCATGAATATTTAATTAAAACATTTTAAACTGATAGACTAAAACAAAAATAAAACTACATATAACTGAAATTGTAGGAGCAAGTGGGAATTTTAATTTACAGAAGCAAAAAAATTTAAAAAATTAAAGAAATCTAGGAGCTGACTAAATAAAAAAATGATATGCTAAAACAATAAAAGAAGCATTAAAAATTAACCTTTTTTTTTTACACTAAAGCAGAGCTTATTGATAAATGTAAACAAATAAAAGCACTAAAATGACAAATAAGTTCTCGTTTTCTACACTTTAAAAGACACAAATACTGGTTACTGTTGACTCATAATAGAGTGAATTTTAACAAAATATCAAATTTTCTTTAACAATATATCAAATTTTCAATTTTGAACATAAAAATTAACCAAAAAACAATTAAAAAAATAAACTGGAACATAAATTTCTATATGCTCCAACCTACGAAACCAGTTTAAAAAGTTGCAACCTTTACGGCAACATTTTCCCCCCAGTTTAACAGCCAGCATATGTACAGTTTACCTACAACAAGAGCTTTTCATGAGATCAATTTTTGTACTTGCAAATCAATTTTAAGACCAGTTTTAGCAAAACAAAAAACAAAGTTTTTATTTAGATAAAAAAAAAAAGATTTAAAAGAAACCCATAAGAATTTCACTTAACTATCTCAAGTCAAGACTGATAGAAATATGTAGTCAGTTGAAGAGATATGGAGTACCACATACTTTATGTATGTAGTAACACATACACTTGTTTAGTCTTTTAAAACGTGGCATGAGTATTTCAATTTAATGCTGGATTAGAATATTGTAACCAATTTATTTTGTCCACAGAAAGACTAAGTAAAATTTACCGTTAAGTACTTACTACTGAAAACTTTTGGAGTCCCGATCAAAAACATTTTTTTTTACATAAATTACATTATTTCAAACTGATAAGAACGCATTTACAAATATTCTAAAATTAATTTTAAAAAAAAAACATGGCTGTCAAAACATAAATGGAACATGGACAAGGAACTAGGAATTGGAATGTTTTTATAATCTCATGAATGGAAACATAAAATCTGCTAAACTTAGACATTAGTTGTTTCGTAATTTGGTCCACGACTTATGAGTCCATATTTCATCAATTCGGCAAATGAGGTAAACGGAGGGCATTCAATAATACACACGTTTTAGATTCAATACACGTTCATTTTTAAGGAATGATATGCTTCTCACATTGAACTTGAGAAATGTTCACTGATGACAATTTAACATTGTATGTTTATAAAAAAAAAAGGTATGTACATTAAATAAATACTTAATTAAATACATTAATTAATTGATAAATTTACACCTCAAGTATTGCAGAATTTTTCTTCAAAACCGTGACTGAAGAGTGCATATACTGCAATTAGACAACTTTAAATTTTACTTACAAATAAACAGTACTTTACAATGTATAGGCAGGCAAGGTTAATCGGAGAAAATAAGTTTGTCTTGTTTCTCTGACAAGTTGCAAGTAAACATTTGCAACGTTTTTTAGCTTGGCATATCATTTTTTCAAGACAGTACAACTAGCTAAAAATTTTTTTAACAGGGTAATTGATTTTATTAATTACTATAAAGTGTTTGGTTTCTCAAACATTTTTCAATTCAAGTTTTTTTTGGCAGTCTAATAATCTAATCAAATTTTTATTACTGAATTAATTATTTTAAAAAAAAACATTTTCATCTCTGCGGATCAGTTTTTTTTAACCAAAATGTAAAACCTCAATAATTACTAGCCTAAAATTTTATAAGGTTAATTCCGCAAAGATATTTAAACAAGAGCAACCTAGGTTTTGCTTTGTAAAAAAAATCATTACATAAAAATATTTTATTATCAAATTTACAACTTATGCCAACATTTAAATAAAATTTCTACCAACAATTAACTAATCAATTATGATTAAAAAAAGAAATTATGTTAAAACATTAAATCATGGCATTTTATATATAGGCCTAAAACATTACCTCACAGTGCAGAAATCATTCCATTCTTCCTTTTTCATTCAATAATATTTTAGTTCATCCACAATGCAACAGTTTATTTTACTAAAAACAGCCCAAACACTTGTAATGTTGTCATATCACCACTTTTCCCCTTCAGAACGGAGGGGTAACTTAAGTACACATACACAATATCACCTTCGTTCAAGTCGAATAAACCTTGAACATTTGAGTCCCTCACCTCGGAGCGTTTGAGTGTCAGTGAATTGGATGCTAGTGAAACTGCTTTGCCGTGATCCCCTGGTTCCATTTTTTGTATGGAATGTTGGATGATCAAGTCAGTTTTGTTGATATCCAGGGTGTTTTCAATGGTACTTAATGTCAAATGGTTGTAGATAAAGTACGTTCCGCGTTTTTGGATGACGAAATGACCATTTGAATACTTGACGCCCGATCCTACGTAGCTATTTTTATCTTTATGATCCGACACCCATGAAAATAAATTTTCTGAAAAATAAAATTTAAAAAAATAATTTCAAGCTTCAAAGTTTACGGGAATTATTGTAGACAAACCAGACACAAAGAATAGTAAAAAATAAAATATAATAAAAATGTGTATAAGTGTATCCACTTACGAGGAAATGGTCGGTTTTTAACATTAGCCTTTGTAGTCATCACATCTAAGACGAGATGAGCTTTAGCATCTACATTCCCTGAAAGCTGGCATGGAAGGACTTGTGGGTAAACATTTGGACCAGGGCCAGGCGATGTCTGGAAAACAAAATCATTATTGTCAATTTCTTGTCAAATTTTGTACAGAAAGTTTCAAAGACACAACTTTCAAATTAAATTCTATACTTTAAAAAGATTATTTTATTAGGCCTACTTATTAAATATTGATTTAGGCCTATTTAATATTTATTTGGTCTATTGACACTATACTATTGTAAATTATTCATTTTATGCCTTTAGGCCCTAATTAATAAATATTAATTATTATAAGACATAAGCTTATTTGTAATTTCATTGATATTATTATAATATAGGCCTAAAAATGGGCCTAATATAATAATAATTATTAATAATTTATGTCAATTTATGATTAGTTAATTATATAATAATGGCCTATTATTTTATTAATAATAATATTAATTGACAACATGTTATTGAATATTGATATTTAGAGTTAGACAGTGCATGCAAACATGATTACAGAGAGAACTTGATTTTGTTTCTTTTTACGTAATAACAATGAGGGAATAAACTTTTTGATACTAGATTCTAGATCAAGATCTATATAGATCTATTTGTTAACTAGCGATTCGATAAAAAGGCGTTCCAATCGAAGCACACAACTAAACTTTAAGGGCGTGAGAGTTCCACATAATGGGAAATCCCTAACAAGATCTAGGTCACACAGACGTCGGTACCTGTTGTCAGTGGTGATTAAATATCTTGTTTACACATGCGACTAAACATCTATAAATAGTACATGTGTAACCGTTTAGAAAGAAAAGCATTACAAATATTTAAGTTTACTCTTTTGTTGCCGCCCACTCCCATATTTGCTAAAGTGGGCCATAGTTTAGGCCTAAACTGCCCGAAGTAAGTCTAAAACATCCATTGTTTTTATAATCGGGTGACCATTCTACTTAGATAACTTTTATGCCACTTTTAGATAAGAGTTACACCACAGCAAGCAATAACCCAACTTATTAAAACAATTAGTTTTAAAATAACTATTTTGTTGCAGTGGTCATTTTAGACATATTGTTTTAGATTAAAACTATTTATTTTACTTTTAATCTAAATATTTAAGTATTTAAATACGAAGCTTGTAATCCAATCTAATCTAAAAGTTAATTTCATGCCTGCCGTGAATCACCGGCATGGCGAGCGTTAATTTGTGTTGTGGTAATCCCTTTCAACTTTTCGACAACAACTCTTGTAAGCTTTACAAATGAAAACATCAAAAGTAGAATTCCCGAAACTGATCCCTGTTCACACATTGGAAATAGTGTCTTATCGGACAAACGGTTAAACCCACTTGAGCGAAATGAGCCCTATATTCCAGCTTTTGAGTGCTGGGTGCAATTTATTGTGGCCCGTCGCAGCAGAAATTGACAAGTGATAAAAAGCGTGTCCAGATGTTGAAGTGCCTGATAAAAGTTTGGAAATCCACCAGAAAATCCAAACTCAAGCTTTTATCAATTACAGAAAAGAGTGCCCAAAATGTATCGTTAACACAAGAGGAAATAGAAAGGATATCTCCTACCATACAGAAAAGGGTGCCCAAAATGTATCTTTAACTTTAAGACAAGAAGAAATAGAAAGGATATCTCATAACATAAAGGGTAACAAACAGACGAAGCGAATGGGGGGGGGGGGCTCTTAGGGAGCTTCAAAACAATTATCCATCATGAAAAAAAACAAGGTAATAGTTAAAATTTGCTTACCGGTGCTAAGATATCATACTCAGCGCTGGATAAATCGTCTGCACAGCAGATGTCATTGTTAGATCTGACCTTCACCTTGTGACTGAGTTCAAAGTTAAACTTTCCACAGGGAACACACAACTTGACGAAGGGACGGCCGTTTGAGTCTAATGAGAAACTGGGCGACGGGGACAGTGCAGGAGACGTGACGTCATTTTTCTGAGACATCCAAATACCGAAAAAAATTCCGAATGGAATAGCGAGTAGCAGGTTCAATATGACGGAGAGTATGAGGGCGATTTTGATAGTCCTGCTGTTGAAAGACCCCGAGACCTGTCGCATGAACTTGTGTGCCCGGGTGGTGAGGGCGGGGAAAGATTCACTCATTTCGTTGACGCAGTTCTCGGCGTCCTCGTAGGAAATTTGACGGTCAGCAGGGCGCGTGCAGTGGACTTTGTGCTTGCTGGGGGGCGCGTCCTGGGAGGAGTCGAACGTGACTCGTGTGTCCTTGGCCATCGTTGTGAAAGAGGTTTCTGTTATGCTGAAAATAGAAGGGAAAAAAATAAATAAATTTGTGTGTTGAGATGTTTGTATTTTTATATTAAGTTTGAGTTTTTTGACAGAATGCAGGAGAGATAGGTAATCTTGATGGAACAAGACGCTAGTTAAGTGATGAAAAGAAAAACTTGAATTAGATAAAAAATTAGATATTCTTGCATTGTCTACCGAGATCTACCACTGTAAGGAGAGATAGGTAATCTTGATGGAACAAGACGCTAGTTAAGTGATGAAAAGAAAAACTTGAATTAGATAAAAAATTAGATATTCTTGCATTGTCATCTAAGATCTATCACTGTAAGGAGAGATAGGTAATCTTGATGGAACAAGACGCTAGTTGAGTGATGAAGAAAAAAACTTGAATTAGAAAAAAAATTAGATATTCTTGCATTGTCTACCGAGATCTACCACTGTGTCAAATTTCAGCTCAATCTGACAATGGGTTACATTAATATTCCTAGATTTACGGAGCCACAAACATACAGAGCGAACGTAATAGAAGTCTTTAAAAAGTAAAAGTTTAATCTAGAGTAGGCCCGCCCGGGATGGGATCAGTGTCTAACCCTTAGGTCACGTGCACCGCGTTACATCTGTCGATGCTACCTGGCAGAGAGGAGACCAGTGCATGCTGCCGGAGGCGAAGGGAGGTTATTCAACAAGGGAGGTAATTTAGAGACAAATATACAGATCGCATTTTATTTTAGAAAAGTTTTTTTTTTTTTTTTTGAATGTCGTGGCCTGTAGCGCCAGAGACTAACAACGTGTTTGGTTTGTCTGGTACAGGGGTGTAAGGGGTTAGAACCCCCCCCCCCCAAGACCAAATCCAACCTACGCCGATAGATCAACCAGACACACAACCCACTCCACCCCAAGGCCACGATAATAACATTTTCTCTCGCCAAACCACGCCACATGTGGTTGCGTGGTTCGTTATCTAAGAAATAACAGACCACGGCCACGTGTGGCTACCTTGCTTGCAACAGGCTGACTAAAGTCTGCAGGTTGAGGGGAGGGGGAAGGGGAAAAGAACCGGGAATGGAATCACACAGACTATCAGAAGACGGGCGGGATGAAAGCAGACGACCTACTAAACAATCCCAGACTACCTTGTTGCATATGGCAGCAGATCAAACGTTTCCTTCTGGCTTGGTGTGGTCTTAAAAGTGAGCGGTAGGGCGCTGTAAAAATGGGGTGGTAGGGCGCTGTAAAAATGGGGTGGTAGGGCGCTGTAAAAATGGGGTGGTAGGGCGCTGTAAAAATGGGGTGGTAGGGCGCTGTAAAAATGGGGTGGTAGGGCGCTGTAAAAATGGGGTGGTAGGGCGCTGTAAAAATGGGGTGGTAGGGCGCTGTAAAAATGGGGTGGTAGGGCGCTGTAAAAATGGGGCTCTGAGCGGTAGGGCGCTGTTAAGACGGGGCTATGGGCGGTAGGGCGCTGTAAAAAATGGGGCTCTGGGCGGTAGGGCGCTGAGCGGTAGGGCGCTGTAAAAAATGGGGCTCTGAGCGGTAGGGCGCGGTAAAAATGGGGCTCTGAGCGGTAGGGCGCTGTAAAAATGGGGCTATGGGCGGTAGGGCGCTGTAAAAACAGGGCGGTAGGGCGCTATAAAGACTGGCCAAGTGAAGTAGAGAAAAGTGAGACTGGTCAAGTGAAGTAGAGAAAAGTGAGACCGGCGAAGTGAAGTAGAGGAAAGTGAGACTGGCCAAGTGAAGTAGAGGAAAGTGAGACTGGCCAAGTGAAGTAGAGAAAAGTGAGACTGGCCAAGTAAAGTAGAGAAAAGTGAGACTGGCCAAGTGAAGCAGAGGAAAGTGAGACTGGCCAAGTGAAGCAGAGAAAAGTGAGACTGGCCAAGTGAAGCAGAGAAAAGTGAGACTGGCCAAGTGAAGCAGAGAAAAGTGAGACTGGCCAAGTGAAGACGCCGGCTGAGAAAGGTGAGGGAGTATGTATGGGAGGATCACAGCATAATTACCTGGCATGTGCATGTAACTCTTTCATACGTTTTTTTTTCTGTTAATCAAAAAAAAGGAGAGGGGGTAACCCAATGCTGTCTGGGAATGCAGACGTTTCGGAGTTGCCTTCCCCTTGTCTTCCAGACGTATCCGAGTTGACTTCCCCCCCCCCCCCCCCCAAGTTTTTCGCTCGCCAACTAATGTACATTCGCACCCTTTAAAAATAAGGGTCGCATACTTTCTTTAAACCTGCCGTACCTTCAAGCCCACGAGGTGGGGGGGGGGGGGGGGAAAGGGGAGATCGGGTGGGGATAATTAAATCAAATATTTTTCCTCTATAGAAATTCCCACTAATTGTATGCTATCACCACGAACAGCACACACTGATCGGTGTGTAAACGAAAGTACAAAATTAGCACCCTATCTGTGGCGAAGGCGCCCCTTTTAGAACTTTTAGTTTCCGTAGAGGCTAAAACACAGAGCACGCGATAGCCCCGCTGTGTAAAACATAGCCTCGACAGCCCTACCCGAATGTAAATGTTTAATGCATTACCCCCCTTTGTTGTTCTTCAATAAATTAGCGAATTAACGAGGACATATCTAAGCAATGAACTCATGCTAGAAAGAAGAGAGAGAGGAAAAAAAGGAGGGGGTGGGGGTTAATTAAATAAATTAAAACAATTTATTATCAGATACTCAAGACGCAGTAAAATAAAATATTTATGTCCTACTCCAATCGACGGGGGTATGGGCCAGAACAAAGGACCGTTAAGGCGGTAGGACAATGGAGAAAAGTGTGGAACTTTCTATAGAACGTTTGGGCGCGCATTCCACCGATTACGTCATCCACCCACACCGGTAGGAGGGAAGGGGGGGGGGGGGGGGGGGGGTAAGGGAGGGGAGGGAACTTTGGTTCAGGATCAAGAATTCAGGGTATGGACCTTTAAAGATGAAAACCCCAGCACCCCCCCCCCCCATTCCTGAACTTGCAATAAAAAATTATATTGCGATACTTTTCTTTGGTGAACTGTTTGTTTCTGTGACGTAAAGTTAGCTATAAGTTGTTGATGAAATACATGAAAAAGTATTGCTACTTTCTAATTTACATAGCAAAATGTCTATCTTCTAATTCACATGACAAAGGATGGCTACTTTCTAATCCACGTAAAGTATAGCTACTCTCTAATTCAAATAGCAAAGTATGTCTACTTTCTAATTAACATATCAAGAATGGCTACATTCAAATTCACAGTATATAAATTAAGCAACAACTATGAATACGCTAGCCTCTAGGTTTTAAACAAGACAGCTGTTGCCCAACATTATGTTGCTAATTGCGACAATAATTAGAGCAGAAAAATTTTAACATAACTAGAATAGAAATGGTTTAATCATATACGGAGTCACCACATCATATTTTCCCTTTTGTGTTCAAGAATAAAGAAACATAAAATAAACACGACCTCGGTGTAAAAGTGGTTTACATTAAAGAGTATAAAGAGAGTAGGGGGGGGGGCAGGGTGTGTACTTTTACCTGTGTGTGTTGACTCACGTCTAGATGCACAGCACGTCTGCATGCGGGTATTGACAGAAATAATATTTAAAAAATTTATAACGAAAACCATGCGAGGCGACAAAACACCACCAACCTCCGAGAAGTCAGCCAGATATTAGACAGTGCTAGGGCGTTGTTTTATTTACGTGTGGGGTGGTTTTAACGAATATAGCTATTGTGCTATGGTACACAAGAGAGTAGTTGATTTGTGTTTGACTTGCAAAGTGTGAAGGATTGAAGGAAAAACAACATAGCTAGTGGAGTGTTTTTTTTTTAAAGGGTGTAATTATAGATTATTTTTATCTGACTTGCTAAAATATGGAGAAGCTGTTAATTAACTAAATTTTGGAAGGTTTCCTGTATCGTACATAATTAATGACGTCGGCTGTTTTAATCATAAAGGGCAGGGCTGTTTAGGTTTAGGATCAGGATTAAGATTTGTATCAAGGGGGGTAGAGATAATGATTTCAAAAATAATAGTTAGGACACGCCTTACTGGCGTACTTAGAAGTACCATCGAAGTTTTTTTTTCCGGCTACAGAAAATAAAATTAAAAAATACAAATAAAAAAAAAAAACTTCAGGTATTCGTCAAATATTTATCTCGGCGTAAAGATAACATTCTATTTATAGATCACGTGACGTGTGTGATATGGCTTCCCATCCTGGTCGGATAAGTATAGAAACGCACGTGTAGAGTTTTAACACCCCCCCCCCCCCCCCCCCCCCCCCCCCCCGGGGGCAGTAGAGACTGCCGGTACAGGGTTCTGTGAGATCGCGACCATGACGACGAGACCAAATTCCAGAGCGCGACACGAGATGTAAGAAGTTCCAGAACTTTGGAGGGCGAGAACTGTCGAGACGGCGAGTGACGAGCCATACGGGTGGGGGCAGGAGAGCGAGGGTGGGGTGGTATTTGGGACCCGGGAAAAACTAGAGGAAGAAATCGAACAAGCGCGTGGAAAAAAAAGAGGTTCCATGAATTAAGACAGTGTTGACCACACTTTCCCCTTGTATGTTAGCTCATTCAACCAGATGGACTCTACTTCATCTACCCCGTGTGTTTTTCGCACGAACGGGAAAATATGATGGTGTATAAAGACATTTTACTATGTTAGAGATGGATAAACCTTTTTGTGGTACTTTAAAGTACCAAAAAACTGACACTGTGTTAAAGATATCAGTGGTTTACAACTAACCCAGATTTATTTGTAAACATCTTTACACACACACACACACACACACACACACATATATATATATATATATATATATATATATATATATATATATATATATATATATATATATATATATATATATATATATTGAAAAATCAACAATGATGTGAAAAAAACTAAAATATAACATTTTTTTTTTTTTGCAATTAGTTCGAAAATTAAGAAAAAAAGAGAGATATATAGATTGTAAACTAGATCAGGATTCTATTTTTAAAAAATCGATCATCTCACCAGTAGTGGGTGG